AACAGGCGTTCAAGTAGTAGTGAGTGGGGATTAGGCATAGATTAGTTCATTGTTGTGATATTGTCGGTTGGGAACATGACCGGCCCTTGGATTTTATAGGTAGCAGACAACCCTTCGAAATATTTTCTGATTTCCGACTGAGCTATGACAAAGTTAAGTTCAGGAATGCAATGTCGTGTTCGCTGCTTATAAATTGCAACAAAAAGCTTTGTTCTGACTGGCAAATCACTTGATAACTAATCCTAGATATCCTTCGTTTTAACACTCTGAAATTGTCACATAAGACAGTGGTAGAAGCCTTATTCCTCGGAGAATATTAGAAGAACGGTGCTATAGATGCGTTGATATTTCGGCAATATGCCTGCATCGAAACGAATAGCGGAAGTGAATTCGAGATCGCCTGCCGGTGTCCAACCCGTTTTTTCATGTCTTTTTTGACACAGCGAGCCGCAGTTTTTCAGGACACCAACATTCAGCGGATGAGACATGGAGCGATTGCCGGCCTTACTACGATACGGTAGATATCTAAGAATAAGAATGTGCAACATACGCGTGCGTGCAAACAAATTCAAGTACGCAGGCATCACACATCACGCGTCATTCAAAGATGCAAGCGAGTTAAAGTAAACAGGTCGCAGACAGCACGCATCAGTTAAACATGCAAGCGATTTTAGTTAAACAGGCTTCGCGTATCAGGCGTCGCGCATCACTTAAACATATAACAGATGTTAAGCTAGCACACATCACAAATCAAGGTGCATATCACGTTCGTATAATCGGCCATAATGAGCCCTGTACGTTAATGTTTTTGCAGACTTTTCATAAGAATAGATTCACTCCTTTTCATAATGAGGCAACTATTTTTTACATTATATATTTCATACAAACTATTTTCATCATGCGGCTATTACTACTGCCTTATCTATGTGCATAATGTACTCCACAAATGCACTTAACAATTCTAAATGATCACATTAATTTGTCTAGGTCGTGCTTTGCGCGTGCTCATCACGTTGTCATTTTCATCTGAGCCATATTACTCACCGACAAGACATTGTAAGAAATGATCGGCTCACTTTTCTGCTGGCGAAATTGGGGAAAAATTTGATTTAGCCCATCACTGAAAGCAGCACGTTTCCCACTGAGCCGACTTAGCTCGCAGCGCGGATCGCAGATGTTAGCGCGCAGATCATCTCAAAGTTCGAGTATGAGGTCTGAAAATGTTCAAAGACCCAGGAAAACAAGACGATTCACGCATCGGATGGCCTTGGTTATGTCTGTGGGCCTCAAATTCGCTATTAGGGCCAACAAATTGGAGAACAGGAAAATAGAGGGCCCTATGATGTTAAGCGCGTCACATGAACAAATCAAATCTTGAAGACTGAGGAGTAACCGAATCCCGCTACCCTGCTGCTGTCAGACCTCTCACCGCCCGTATCACAGCAGACCTCTCACCGCCCGCATCACAACGTGACGTCAGACCTCTCACCGCCCGCATCACAGCGTGAGGTTCTAACAAAGTGCTGGCGTTAACGCGCGCCCGGATGGCTGGTTGGATACCCTTCGCTCAGGTGGAAGCTAATTTGATCCCCCTGAAATTTTAGAAACTAAGGAAGTTAGAGATACCAAATTTACAGGGTGTATTAACCGGTACGTGAACTCACTTAGATCAAAATTTGAGGATACCAGGTCATGACTTTCTGGTAAAATAAAGTCAAACAAGGTCAAATTTCAGGCTGATCTCCCAAGGGCCCCTTGAACCTAGAAAACTATTTTAAGAAAAATGCTCCATGCTCATCTAAGGTCAGTGCCCTTGGTTGACCTTTTGAAAGTCATGGTGACCAAAATCATACAAGACCGCTTTGAGTTTTGCATTTGGATAAGCGACCATTACGCTAGGCAGTATGTTCCTATAAACAAAATGCTGACCTGGGTCATCGTGGGTCAGTAACCTATTCTGACCTTTAGGTAGTATATGGAAGGTGTATAGTGTGATTACTGTTGTCAATAAATTCGAAATGAGCACCAGAAGCTACCCCATACAGCAAGCCCAAGAGTAAAAAGACAGGTTGGCTTTGACCTTGGTCTGACCTTCATAACTGATCTCAGGTCAATGCAATTTGTTAATTGCATTGTTGTGTTGCCTAAGACAGTATCTCAGATATGCATGGCCTCGTCCAAAACTTCGTTGTTGGATCAGATTGAACGAGATCCTAGAAATTGCCTTCGCTGAAAACATGACCTGACTTTTACCCGCCATAGATCAGTGACCTTTTAAGGTGCATCTGAACGTTTAAAACCAGACGATCCGTCATGTAATTTTTCACAGCTGTACAAAGTGTGGCGCGGCTACGCCGCGCCGTTCGGAATTCATCCCGGAAAACCTTCGAGGGGGGAGGGTCAATTGGACCCCCCCCGAGCATGTGTTAACGGAAAGCCAACAATGCTTGCTGGCTTGCGTGGGCAAGCAACGAGGTGTAGACCTGACACTACCATGCATGCGTATGCGTGGTGGCATTTCACAGCGGGGTAATATTGTGAGCTGTGGTGAATATGTAATGCCGGGGAATATGAACAGGGCACTTGGAGCTTCCCGTGGTTCATAAACTAAGTGCAGCCTGTAGTCGGAAGACAGCCTCAGCAAACTGCATTCTGCGTATTTTTTTACCCATATTCGAGATCCCGGGCGGGCTGGACAACAGCACTGTTGCAACTCCGGCAGACGTAAGTGGGGCTTCAGTTCTCCTGCCAGCTGGCAGTGCACCTCATCGCAGTGGGCTGGTGGACTCCAAGAACGTTCCTATGCACCATGTTTCTGATATGCAAGCGTCAGCAGTCAGGACGTCCACGGGCGTTGTTAACATGGTCACATCCTGTCGTAAAAATGGTTCTTGACAATACATCTCTGCCCAAAGTGACCGACGCCTGCTGTGAAAGAGCGTGTGTTCAGCCAAACTTCGAAACCAAACGTCATGCATAGGATAGGAGGAAATTTCGATTCCGTCAAACGACATCAGTCGTTTGTGCCAATTTGCTCCCGTCAACCTGATGTTTCACGTGCTCCAATATTGTGCTGCAAGATCAAATTAATCGGGCTACCCCAAAATGTTTTTTTTCACCAATAATGCAACGGTACTATAGCGAATGTAGGCATAGCGTCACTGCACGGTCTTCCGATTCGGGAGCTCGTCAGCGATGATAGAAGGTCCCGAACACCCGAACATCACAGTTCCGGCCATTACGAGAATGTTCCATTTGTTGACATTAAGCTTTCCATTGCTTTTTTGTCTAGGGGGGGGGAGACAATCAGTCCTACCACGCCCGAGAATTAATGTTGAACTGCTGAAGTCTACACATTTCGCGCAGCTTTGCCACATTTAACAGGGATTTTCAACGACTGTCATACCAAGGGGTGCGTCAGACCCATTCACATTATGTAGATGATTCACCTGTTTTCAGGAATTGCGGCCTCATTTGCAATAAGCTTTGAGGTTAAATAGTGAATCCTAGTCATTGGTGAGACACAGTGCGAAGGCCTCCGCATGACCAGTGGAAGCATGGTTGGTATTAAATGATGGGCTAGTATATATAGGTTCATCTGATTATGTATAATACAATTCTTAAATCTTGACGTTATTGATTTTATTTCACCTAGATAGCTGTGCGTCTGCTGTTCTGTATGGCATCTGTTTCGTTTACTAACGGCAGGTACTTTGCAGCGTAAGTCGCCACGGTCATGGCGTATTCTTCCTGTTTACCAGGAGTGCAGTATAAGATGAGTTGATGATATGCAGCTTTGCCAGAGAACTTGCTGAGGTCTGTATGACCGCGTGGGGACATGAACATGGTTGTCCCAAGACAATCTTTAACTTTAATTACAATACGTTATTTCGTTCTTTTTATGTTATGCCCAATAGCACAAGAGGAATAACGTAAGAATGACCAGTTAGAATGCCGATGTATTCGGACCCTCAAGCCAATCTAGCTTTCTTTTCTCCCACTGCAATCGCACTGGCTAGTGCTGGTGATGTAAAACACACACACAACACACACACACCACACACACACACACACACACACACACACACACACACACACACACACACACACACACACACCACACACACACACCACACACACACACACACACACACACACACACACACACACACACACACACACACACACACACACACACACACACACACACACACACACACACACACCACACACACACACACACACACACACACACACACACACACACACACACACACACACACACACACACCACACACACACACACACACACACACACACACACACACACACACACACACACACACACACACACACACACACACACACACACACACACACACACACACACACACACACACACACACACACACACACACACACACACACACACACACACACACACACACATTGTCCAAGGTATTGATCCAATTTTTCGCATTTACATTTCCAAATGGTTTCGGTAGTTGGTCGTCAGGCGGGCCACCATGCGCGGGACGATATAGTGCTTTGAACCGTATACTTCAGTCAGTGCTTTGCCTAGTTTACCCCGGGATTGAACCCGCCGACCTATACCGAGAACACATGCTGACGGCTTTAGGATATATGCTGTCAAATCTCCCTACCATAGCATCCGCCCGCATTGGCTTCAGCGCAGCAGAACGGCGATTGCCTGAGTCGACCGATCTGAGGCGACCGTAATCGTGTCACTGCCACGCGGCCATCTGGGACCTTTTTATTCGGTCATTTTCGTATCTCTACTACTCTACGACATTCGGCCTTACTCTACTCTATCGCTCTACCCCAAGATCGACCATCCGCTGTATTGGGCAACCAGTGATGGATGATAAAATAACCTCATAACAACCACAGGTGAATTCGTCTCGCACTAGTCTTTAGCAATACGTAATCGTCTAGCCCACCTACATCCAAAGCTCCTCTGGTTTGTTTGGGCACCATGATTCCAGTCAGAATATATTGCTGATGCCGGTCAAAAACACACACAGTACTTTGGCATGCACTCATTTCATACCTATAGAACAGGTCACACTCGAACGCGCGTTCAGCTAGATAGATCATGCTCTGCATTGGTCCGAATACATGCTCGAGTGCATTATTATTAAACATTCCGTGACTTGTTATTTTTGTTTTGTTAATACATAGGCTGTCGTTTTGAGCAGGTCTAATAATAATGACTGCAAACACCATAACCGCACACACATCGAATAACACTGAATTTGCTGTGCGTAGTGGGCTCTAACTAGCAAATAGAAAACGTTTGCAAATGCTCGTGGTAAGGATATTGCTCACGTACATCTCATGATATAAATAACGAGCTATCTGTATATGTTTCGGCACAGCTCATTCGCTCTCGTCGGACGGCAAGCTTGTAACGACTCCCGGAGAGCGCCGCAAAGGGCCTGTTCGTGAGGGGTGATTTCGACATAACTCTTTCTACGTCTCCAGGTGATCAATGACACAGGGGTTCAGGACATGCTACACTGCGACGGTTTTTTTGAAAAGACGCTTTGGTCGCCTGTGATGAAGTGGCACGTCGCCCCAGCAGACCCTGGGACGGCCGCAGACCGGGATCGCGACAATCGGCGTTCTGAAGGCCCCTCGCTACGACGTCCATCGCTACGACGTCCGCTTTACGACTCCTCGCTCGCTACGACGTCCATCGCGACGCACCTCCGTGGGCCGTCGACGATGAACGGCGCTCGGCCTGGCCGTACCGACGGCGGCGGCCCTCCCGCTAGATGTTGTTGGAGGCTGGTGGCTGCTGGGCGGCCATGTTGTACTCCGCGCGGTTGGTGCGCCGCCGCAGCCGGTTCACCAGCCGGTTGTCGCAGAGCGGCCCGGGCGGTAGCAGGTGCGGCGGGTGCTTGGCCTTGTACTCCTCCCACTCCGTGCGGTGAGCGTCGAGCGCCGGTCCCCAGTCGTCGGTGGGCTGGCTGCAGATCTTCAGCCGCTCGGCCAGCGTGCCCGGCGTCACGGCCAGCAGGTAGACGGCGTACCCGGGCATCATGAGCAGCGATGCTAGCGCCGACAGCCAGCCCACGCCCTGCGCCCAGGCCGGGAACTCCACGTCGCGGTAGTTCACCGGCGTGTTGAACACCAGCGTTGTGATGAAGATCAGCTGTGGCAGGCGGGCGGGCTGTGAGTGGCACGATCGGACGGCCACGACCCACGACTGGCTGTTTTTAACGCTTCTCACTGTTGCATACTGCTTCAGATGTATTGTGATCTTACTGTTTTAACTGTGAGGAATTGACGAGGGAAAGCAGCAGTTCAGTTTTTAATTGCTTATTAATTTTTTCAACGCATACAGTGAACCGGTCGGGCATCAGCCAGTGTCAGAAGATGCACAGACATATCAAGTTATTAATCCCAAGTTGTACCGATATTGTTGATGATAGCATTCGAAAATTAAATACGCCAAAACACCTAAAACACGAAGTTGACGTGACAGTAGCTCGCGATGGTTACCAGGGCCAGTGCTAATGTAGCTTACGATCAGGACGATGGGCGTAATAAAGTTCCAGCAAAGTCTCCACCAGGTTCCGATAGGTCTCTGCGCCATGAACTCCACGTCACGGACAAACTTCCCAGGGCCTGTGACAAAGACACATGTGCGACACACAAGACACAAGACACACAAGACACACAGTGAGCAGAGACAGCCCACTGTCATACGCACGACAGTTGCAGGTATTGGCGAGGAGGCGTCACGTACGAACGTAGTCAGCAACAAGCCATTTGTGCGAGTTGTCCCTGCAGTCGTATCATGCAATAATGCCATATTTTTAGCTTGATATAAGCAACAGCAACGGTCGCGACAGTGTTTAAAACAGCGCGGTGTAAAGCTATCGACAAATCGAGGCCATCTGACGCCCGCTATCGACAAATCTAGGTGCAGCAAATCAAAAGCTGGCAAACACCCTTCCGGTAGTACTTCCAGGCAGACGTGTTCGACTTCAGCTGAATGGTATATTGGCTCACGAGCCAATCGCTTTAGGGTGAGTCGGGAGCTGAGTCGGCTCGTTAGAAAAAAATGTCCCTTTATGCCCCTCGTGACAGTGAGTCATATGGCTTAACTTAAAATGCTTACATGAGGAAGCACAGCACGCCCAACACGCCCAGGACAAATTTACAGACCATTTCAGGGTGTTGAAATGAACATTATGCAGCATTAGTTTTAAAAAAAACTTTTACAAAACCAGCACGGAGTGCTACCAGCGCAGTTCGTTCCTTGGCTATTTGGGCCCATTTTTCATGCAATTATACATCCATATGTGTATATATGTATATAATATATACATCAATATGTGTATATATGTGTATATATAATAATCATATATATAATGTGCACGAGTCACAAAGCGACTAGCGGAACTGAATCAGATCTTTGATATTGCGAGCATGACCCAAATGATTCAAGCATGCAGACATCACGGAACACAAGTGAGTCATGACACATGACACAGGTGAATTAACACAGACGATGAGTCTGAACTGAGCCGAATAAAAAATTGAGGGACCATAATTCATGAGGTGAATCAGATCCCAGAGCCTGAGTCGGTCTTGAGCTGGCTCCAAAACATTAAGTCAAGAACAAGTCTGCTTCGAGGACAGCGAAGCCTCGCAGAGTGAGCGCCCGAGTCGGCGACCTACCGTAGATCCAGGCGAAGGCGATACACTCGCAGATGCAGACGAGGATGACGGACATGGAGGCGCAGTACCAGTCGAGTATCTGCAGCACGTACATGCCGCCCTGCGGGTTGGGCGGGACGATCAGTAGCTGCATGGCTCTCACTGCACAGGTCAGAACACAATGGGCAGGCCAAACGGTCATGTTCTTATAGCAACATTGCCGGAAATGTCCGGGACAGAATCCCTTTGTTTGGCAGTAATTAGGTACAAGTTAAGAAAACATCAGGCGCCATCGTCGTCTGATGCCGTCAGGCAACTTGTACCACCCCAGCCGTATCACCAGCGTGACGATCGCTCTTCCGCTTCTTGTGACGATCGCCTGTGACACATGGACACTCCCGCTTCTCCCGTGTGACAATCCGTATGGCGCACCCTGCCACGCATGTGACGCAGGCCTGCTAACCCATACACCACCGACTGTCTTATCTATGCGACCTCCCTCTCCCACCCGTGTGACGCCGCGCTCTCACCTGCGTGACGCAGGCTAGAGAGATGAGGCTCATCAGCATGCAGAGGACGAGAGTGATGAGAGGCTTGCGGTGCCGGTGCTGCGGAAACTCGTCCAGCAGCGACGACACGACCGTCTCGATTTGCACGAACTCGCTGTCGATGCCCAGCAGGAAGAGCATGAAGAAGAAGAGGACGGCCCAGAAGGGGGCGGCTGGCAGCATCGCCAGTGCCTCAGGGTAGGTGACGAACGCCAGGCTGGGGCCTGCGGGTCGTCGGCCAGGTCAGATTAGTGCGAGGTGATGTCCAGACTAGGTCCTGCGGACCACTGACCGGTTTGGACTGGGGCTTGCGGACCACTGACTGCGTGGGACTGGGGCCTGCAGATCGCTGGCCGGGTCATACTGAAGCTTGCGGAGCACTGAGCGGGTGAGACTGGGGCCTATTGACCGGGTCAGACTGGGGCCTGCGGACCACTGGCCGGGTCAGACTGGGGCTTGCGGACCACTGACCGGGTGAGACTGGGGCCTATTGACCGGATCAGACTGGAGCCTGCGGACCACTGGCCGGGTCAGACTGGGGCTTGCGGACCACTGACCGGGTCAGACTGGGGCCTATTGACCGGGTCGGACTGGGGCTTGGGGACCACTGGCCAGGTCAGACTGGGGCTTGCGGACCACTGGCCGGGGCAGGACTGGGGCCTGCAGGCCGTTGACTCCGGACCGACGGTCGGGGCAGAATGCGTACGGCCAACGAACAGCAGACTAGGTCCCCCACCAACCAGTGACTGGGCTAGAGATGGAAGGTATGAACGTATAAAAATTTCTGAGAATAGATCTACGTGCGGGAGACGCGAAATGGAAATCTAGTTAAGACTGTTGATTACCAGCGCTGAAGGCCGTCGACACAACCACGACCATGTCAATTGCCCACAGTGGTTTGTGTCGGTACTTTTCTCACATGGTGGTAACGAAATTTAGAATTTCAGCTTATCAGACTCAAGCCCAATACCAGGCAGGTAGTCCGTAAAACGAGACGCAGGACGACTATACCATAATATCGTTTGGTAGTAGCTCGAGCAGACGTAAACTTCTCGTAAGTCATTTACAATTATCTTTCAATTTCGTTTGTTGACGTTGGGATCGTTAAATCCAGACCACAGGCAGGCTCCACCAATTCTTTCACCTTTCACTCCGCTACTCTGCCTGGACTATCCTCGTCAATCTGGTGGACAGCCGGCTCGAGAGTGGTGGGCGTGAACATGGTACCGATGGTGACAGTGCGCGGAGGCTTCCCTGAGATCGCCCCGCCCTGCTACGATTCAGCCGCTTCCTTGCGACTCGGGTTTTCCCCAACGGTTGGAAGATCGTGTGTATAGTGTTCATCCTGACATCAGGCGATCTGAATCTGTACCAGTTAATGAAAGACCGCTATACCTCCTACGCATGCTACCTAAATTGTTATCTAAATCTCAGCTGGTCACATTCTTGTCAGTGACCAGTTGAGCATTTATATAGATTGTAACGGCTTCCTCAGTCCTGCCCAATACGCTTGCCGGCAATGTCATTTGACTCTGGACGCTCTGCTCGACGCCTTCGGAGGCCTGGTGAGAAACATCGACAGAAACTTCCCATATCCTCGATACCAGGTGCAGCAGGTGTCGGGCTATCCAAGGGCTTCATGATCAATTTGTAACAAAGCTTCCGTAGTACGGCGTCGATCCCGAATGATCGCAGGCCATCTTAGTACTCGGAGTAAGGCGGTGCGTGGATGACTGACGAACCTGCCAATGCTCCATGGGGTGTCTCAAGGATCCATAATTGGTCCGCTGTTATTTACTCTGTTCACAAACGCTTAGTCCAGTCATCAATGACATAGTCCGCTCAGCTCATATGCAGATGACTACCAACTTCTGGGCCGTGTGCATCCCAAAACAGTCTTAGACCACCAAAAGCAGTCTGGAAATGAAAAACCCAGGTTTGTTACACCGAAAAATCTCTGAAAATCAAAAAGGCAAACCGACTTCGGGCTACGGCTATCGGTCTACGCGATGAAGATAACTTCATTAATTTTAGGAAAAATGTTGGGGAACAACAGATGAAGCCTGGAAGCCTAGAAAAGTTGTTAAAACAGGTGTTGTTTCCCGCTGTAAATGAAGTATATCACGTATGAAGAGGTGCTAAAGGTACATCCGGGCTTCCAAAGAATGCCAGTAAGAACGCCTGGCTGGATTATGGCCTATTGCCGCAGCCGTCATCTAAAGGCCCATTGCCGCAGCCGTCATCTAAAGGCCCATTGCTAGTGATCACCATCTCTGTGCACTGCAATCCCAGCCCATTTTATCGTATCTGAATTCGCCACTGAAATAATGTTTTAAAATGCTCTTTACTGCATGGCAGCAGACGATGGAATGCAAAATTATCATCTACTCATTCTTTTTTCAAATGCTATGAACTCCTAACCCCCGTTCCTGGAGATACCCGTGCCCTAAGTGTTTATTTTTCTTCCTCTGGGGCCAGATGTGCGCATATTTTCCGACATAGTCCACCATCGCACCGTAGTGCTGGTATACCTTAGCACGGGCGGAACCACGGGTTTTGAGTTAGGGTTTCGTTGAGCTAAAACAGGGCCTCCTGTTCGAGAAAAAGGCCTGTCGCAGCACTTGCATATATGCACAGAGGGGCCTCGTAATCCAGAACAGGATGCTTACGGTTCACGATGGGGCCTCCAAATTTGGTCAGGGAGCCTAGCTACGCTCCTCCTTTTTCTCGGTACGTGTCAGAAAATTGCCCTCGACCCTTTTTCATATTGTCTTTATAGCAATGACCTCTCTTTGCACGTTGATGATGCGGCTATAATTCAGTACGCTGACAACGCCCAGGTTTTTGGCTGCAGACCACAACATAACTCGGCTTGAAACGCTCTGAAAATGGAACCTGGCCTGACTGTACTGACGTGATAGCTGTGGAAAAACGCCATCAAATTGCAAACTAGCTGGAGTGATCGCGATAGCATCTTGCTCAAACCTCAGTCGGTGGCCACCAGTCTCGCCTTAGTCAGAATAAACGGTGCGATTGTCAACGGACGTCACAAGCTGTGAACCAGGGTGTCATATTTGACATTCTTATGCCTGTTAACCCCAGCACTTTATCCACGGTGAGGCGCTCCTCGGCCACATTGTTGTCACCTTGCCGTACTACCTAGCCCTGTCTACCCCGTACTACCTTTTCTAGCCCCGTTCTACCCTGTCCTACTACGTAGTTTCTACCTGGCGCCGTAAACGAATCTGGCATGGTCGTCAATCCGATCCTGTTCTTCTATTTATGGAACAATTGGCAGGCAGCCGACGCAAGTCATAAGAACCCCGTCAGTTTGTGCGCTCTAGCTGTATCTGTCTGGCAAACATAAATATGATCACGTCAGTGGCACACTGTCTTAAATCGCCAGGCTGACTGTCGCCTGGCCAGCTCCACCAGCTCTGCACCGTGACCACCCAACGTCAGCTGACTGACGCATCTCAGCCTAATGTGCTGGCACCGCTCTTCGCACTCAATGGGGACATCTGTACGCAACAACCAGAGACGGCAACAATTGTCATCCTCTGCGGCCCTTGACCGAGTTTAGGAGCGCGCGATTCTCTTATGGGGCGGATGCGCAATCGCCGGATGTTAGTGACTTTGCTGCATACATCCACCGGTTGTTAGTGACCTCGCTGCAAGCATTCGAGAGGACACACAAGAGACGTCTGCTGGCGCGTAGCAGGCAGCTTAGTTCTTACCTGAATAACAAATGCTTGACAACCTCATATTACATGGTGATGTGTGCATGTTTTGTCCTTCCTCGCCTTTTCGGCATGTCTGCTTTATCTTGTGAGTTATCACAAAAGCGTGCGACGGCCATTTGCCCAATTACGTGTTTGATGCTTGCATTCAGTAGTTAATAATAAATACAGCGAGCGCATCGACTGCCAGACCTGTAAAGAGCAGCAGCTGGTGAGATATATATGTAATATGTGGCTGACGAGCGGCATGCGCCAGCAGCTTTAGTTCTGCGGTATGCCACCAGATGTGATGGTTGCGCTGATCGGCAGTGTCCTAGAATTGCCCACTTTGGGTGTAAAGCAACATCCTATGAGGAGGAATTTTGCACTCCTTTTCCCCATATTTTATGTGAATTTTTTATTCCTGCCTAACCTGGACACCTAAGGCTATGACCTGCCTCAACTACATCTGAATCATGTCTATGTATGCCCAGAGCAAGGGCGCCAGGTACCTCCAAGCCCAAAAACCCCGGCGACCCCAGCCGCTTGCACGCAGTAAGTTTGGTTTGTTTACAAAATGCATCACAATCTGCGGCTGTGGGCCAAATGCAAGGTTTTCACGCATCCCCTATTTTTTGGTCTCACCAGCACACCACAAAAGCAGAGTCTGGTGCAAGCACTAGCAAGGCCTGGTAGATAATTTTACTCCACGTACTCCTTTTTTCCCAAGGAAACTTGACCACCAAATTGCATCACTCCCAAAATGCATTAGTGAAAAGTTTAGGAAATGTCTTCTAAATTAAACTTACAAGATGAGTATCACCATTTGAGCACTTTTGTTACCAGATTTTAAATCAAATCAGCTCATTACAAAATTTTGCGAGAAAAGCACCAGTCTTTACATTTATTTAGCTACTTTTGTTTTTCTTGGTATCATACCAGTGTGATATCACTTTATCCTTCCTTCCTTTTCGATTGTCTTTAGAGGTACTATCTGCTGCTTAAAATTTTGACCAATTTCTCTGCAAGATGCTCCAACTGCAAACTTGTACGTATTTCATACATAAATTGGATTAATTCGCCAGCCGCCCAAACATGTTTGATATGCACCCAAGCGCGAACAATTGACAGGGAATGAAGGAGACAATTTGAAGCACGGAACTTATTTCACCTCCATTTTTGCCCTCTTAGAACCCTCGGTTAACCATTTTCTTGGTTCATGGCGGTGCTCAATAATGATAAATCCAAGCCTTTCGAGTGTTTGACTCACCAGGCTACCTGGCAAGGCTATTCCAGTGCCGTCATACAGAGCCTTGGGACAAATCTGATGTAGCTAATACAGAAGTGTTTGATTGTGAAATTCTGCCCTCTGGAGATGTTTATTATGGACACCTCTTACTTGTTTCGTATTTTAATCTCGAAGGGTGGTGTGCATGAGTGATATGTATATTTGGAGGGTGAGTCGGATGACTCTGTCTGCCAGCAGACCATACAAAAGGTACTAAATCAGCAATACTGCCTGGTCATCTAAAAGCGATGTTATTTTTGGAGAATAGAGATTGTTTTGTGGAGCATACCCATAATTTCCCTTGACATAGGTTAACCATGGCAATCAAAATAAGTTGTTCAAAGTGATTTAAGGTGTTTTGATTTGTGTGTGTCAACTTTGTCTGATGTCAACAAGCATACACAAATGAACTGAATAAAAATGCAAGTTGAAACCAGCCAAAAACTAGCTTTAAATATCATGTGTTATCACAAGTGCTGCTGTCAACATATAGGTGAGTTGAGATGATGTTCATCATATGGGCTACTCTAAGTTAGGTTCAGTTGGCCAAGTGCATGGCAAGTGGCAAAATGAATTGTGCAAGATTCAGAAACTCACAATCGCTGCTGTGATACAAACAGGTTGTACAGGATGAGATGATGTAAGGCCTCTTTAGGTTAGGCATAGGCTACTTTCATGGAAATAAGCATTGGTATTTTGCGAGAAACAGTAACAAATTGTTTGTTTTCCCTGACCCCATCTTAACAGAAGCCAGAATAATGTTTACTGTGTTTGAATTGGTGATGGGCTGACGTGTTGGAGTCTAAGGTTTTTTTGTTTGAGTGTTTTATGCTTGCTGAATTTTCTGTTGTTATTTTGCTATTGAATTCATTTGCTTTGTTTTAAAAGTGCTGTGGAAGGGAGTTGAAAGGTGCAGCATCAAATTGTTGGTGGTAATAATTTGTTATGCTCATAATACTGTCATGAAATTACCATGTTTTAACACGCGCCCGGTTGGCCAGCTAGATACTCTTCGCTCGGGTGGGGGGGGGGATGGGGGGTCAATTTGATGCCCCCTCTGAGATCTCGGGAAATAAGAAAACTAGATACATCAAATTTGCAGAATGCCTTGACTTATACGTGAACTCACTTAGGTTAAGATTTCAGCTTCCTAGGTCATGACCTTCAGGCCGAATAAGGTCAAACAAGGTCAAATTCCAGGTTGGTCTCCAAAGCGCCCCCAGAACCTAGGAAACTGTCTCTAAGAAAAAGGTCACAAGCCCATTTGAGGTCATTGACCTTGTTGACCCTTCGAGGGTCACGGTGACCAAAATGATACAAGACTGCTCTGCGTTTTACATTTGAATAAGCGGCAAAGATTACGCTAGGCAGTATGCTCCTACAACAAAACGTTCGACTCGGGTCATCTTAGGTCAATGGCCTGTTCTTAAAACGATCCGCTATGCAATTTTCTACAGCTATGCAAAATTTGGCGCGACTACGCCGCGCCGTTTAGAAACCAGTCGGGAAAAGCCCCCGGGGGGTTTAATTTGCCCCCCCCCCCCACCCGAGCGCGTGTTAATGCATTTTGTTTCACTTTAATGGCCCAAGATGTTAAAAAAACGAAATAGTTTTGTCAGGTTCCTAATATTAAGTCCATGCCAACTTGAAATAGATGTTTTTGTTTGCTGAAGCATCAGGCACGAGCTTAAATGTTTCATCTTTTGTGAATTGATTTTTTCACTCCCGCACGATCTTTTTGCGAAGGAATTTTTCACTCCCACCCTAGTTCAAAAGCGATTCTAGCTCCCTGCTGATCGGTGGAGGCCAGTCCGCCGATCGGCTGTGCGCGTGCGCGGAAATGACGTTCGGCGGACGTGACTGTATAAGAGAATGTAACTGAAGTTCATGGAAGGTCAGGGATGCGAGGTCGCGCATGCCGCCTGGGGGACCGTGGATTCCGACGGGTGTTATGACTGTGTGCGGCCGCGTTCTGATGAGCTTCGCGTGTCCGACGAAGATAACGTCTGTCAGATGCGGCACTTGACACGGGTCTGGACCGCGTCTAGACAAGGTCAGCCTAGGTATCCACGCGGAACAAACAACGGCGATGACTAATACCGGACAGCAGGCGGGAGGTCAGAGGCCGCGAACAAGCGACCAGCGCCGTCAGGTGACCATCAGATGACGCGCCCTGGCGACAGCTGCCACCAATTACCGACCGGCGGCTGGCAGTGCACGAGTGGTAGGCCAGGAACGAACGCAGGCTCGATTCGGTCTGAGATATTGCCAGCCCTGTCAGATAGGAGCTCAGACTACGCATCGGATGTTAGGTGCTCCTGAAGACGGCGCTCGCAGACTAACCGTGTGCAGCGGAGAACAGATGGGACCGGCCTGCCGAGGACGACAGCCAGGCACGCCGAGCTGCTCCCCTCCGGTGGCCACCTTGTCGATCGGGACACCGATCTACTCACCTCCGGTGGCCATCTTGTCGATCGGGACGCCGAGCCACTCACCTCCGGTGGCCACCTTGTCGATCGGCATGCCGAGCTACTCACCTCCGGTGGCCATCTTTTCGATTGGCACGCCGAGTTACTCACCTCCAGTAGCCATCTTGTCGATCTGGACGCCGAGCTACTCACCTCCGGTGGCCACCTTTTCGATCGGGACGCCCGTCTGGTGCGACATGAAGCCCAGCACTGAGAACACCACGAACCCGGCGAAGAAGCTGGTGAAGCAGTTCAGCGTCGGCACGACGATGGCGTCACTGTGGAGCGGAGCACAGGACGTCTTTATCACATTTGTAGAATGCAAGCCGACCGACTCCGCACACAACTGGTATGGGGTTCCCGTCATGGGATGTTGGATATTGTTCGTTGATGTATTCAGCTGCTGCAGTCGTTAGCGTCGTCACACCCGGGCGGAAGCTAGGGCCAGTAAAAGTATACTGCGATGGACACGGAACATCTACCTGTTGATCATTCTCCTTGACGCTCTGACTTCCCTAAGCTAAATACAAAATAATTGAACTAAGAGTTCAACCGCACAAAGACATGGGTCCGAACCAGACCACTCGGGCAATGCCACCCAGCCACTACTCCTTGCTTTTGCTCCGAAGGGATATTCAGAAGACATGTGACATTTTTACCGCACAACGTACCTGCTTGTAATGCCTTTGGCAAACGATGGAAATTTATGTATTTAAAGTGCATTTCAATAATCTTAATTTTTATGACATAACGTTATATTACCAGAAGAGGCTCCAAAAGTTTCTTAACCATGCTCAAGATTGACATGACGGTAAAATATCACCATACTTCGGTGCAAGAAGTCACTCGGTAACTTTAAGTCGCATGCGTGCCGTAGCAAATGCATGGACTTGCACGTTTTGCGTGCATCAGTCTTGCAATTAGATGCCCGCAGGCATTGTCTCCCGGGCGTTGCGTAACCGAGTAAATTCATCACACTTTGGAGCTATAAAAAGTTTGTAAAAGGTTTGTCATCTTATCAGCGAGCCCACAACTGCTCTCACTATTGCCGTGTAGGATTTGAAGAAGGATACCGTAGATATTGACATAGCCTTTCACTGGTATCAGGCAATAAGCCATAGGAAGATGGAGTTGCAACTTCTACTGGCCCTAATTCGCACCCGTACTGGGCAACAAAACGCAACAGATCAAAACGCGCCCGCGCTACGTGATTACTGGTGCAAGCTAATTTACTATGTCTGTGAAGCGGAGATTTTTTTCGTGACCAGCAGAGGTTCAAAACTTAGGTGTTTGTTACTTGTCATGGTTTCCCCTGGCGGTTCGATGGACTCCTTCAGAAGAATGGAAAATAGCTTCGCCAACGTTGACCAAGGGTATTTGTTTTATCGTCTTCTTTGACGTGCGCTTGCGGAATTCAAACTAGCATTACGTAATTACTTCTTTATGTCCTAGAACTGACATGGGAACATACAAATGGCTAGCTTAGTACATGCTAAGAAAAGTTTATATTAGGGGTCACAGACTTGTCCCTGATTTCAAGTGCAGGAATTGAGTATCCCGGGTTAGCACAAATCAAAACATGTAGCTATCCACCAATCAAACACAATCCCGATGTTTGGCACATGCTTGGTAAAACTACCTATACCCGGCTTTTGCTCTGCGCATACAATTTATTGACATCTGTTGACTAATTCATTATCCAAACGAAGATAAGTCGTTATGCCTAATGAGTTGTCAATGCCATCGACCTGAAACGCGGGGGAATGCTATTGCCGTCCACGATGTTACGCTAATGTGTTATGATCGCGCCGCTGGTGCTACATGCGCTGTTTGTTGTTTTTCACCTATGTCAAAATGAACGCGACGCTCATCGCAGCTGGCGTACGTCCACGATTGGGGTCATCACGCCGCTGTTACGCTCAGAAGCATACCCAAAACCAAAACAACACAGCAAAGCGCTCTCCCGAGCGGCGGGTGTTGTTCTCATCCCCGAGCTCGGAAATGGCCACTTTCGGCGCAAGCAGTGTCATCTAACAAGTCCGGGTACAGAAGAGATCCGGCTGCAGAGTGGCGCGAGCCGCGGGCACGCCACGCCCCGAGGCAAGGCACTCCAAAAGGGCAGCAGTCACATAGGCGCTGTAGACGATTACGAGCAGTTTTAGCCACAAGAAAACGTAAAAACAATCAGGGAGGGTTGTCACTGCGATAGAATGTTTACATACTGTTCGAGACTTGTAGCACCGAAAATGCTTTGGTGCAAGAAAAGTATTTTTCCGAGGCTTCTGCTTATACACCCAGGAACCAACCTTGTCCAGGCTGTATTGCAAAGTGCATGACAAACAACAACCGCATACTTGCTATCAATATTATATATGGTCACCCAATATCCGATGCGGCATTCTTATTGACTAAAATGTTTTGACTGTTCGCAGTAAATGACATTGGATTTCAATGAGTCCCAACACGAAAAGCCTCGCGTGGAGGCATTGATCTTGGCCAACAGCGGCGAAAATAGAGCTTTAAACCAAAGCCTCTGCTGGTACTGGAAACTTGCCGCCGTCAAAAACACTTCAAACTCTTCGCTCTAAGTTTGAATGAGAAAACTGCGATCTTTTGAAGCCACGGATGTTGCGTAATCGCCCATGTTCTGAGAATTGCGAGTTCACCGTAAAATAAAGAACCATACAGTAAGTTTCAGGTCATGCACTGCAACAAACAACCAAACCAATATATTTTCCCCCTTGAGGGACAACTGAACTAGCCTATTTTCCGTCTAAACAAACACCTGCACCAGTACACTATGCGCCATCTTGCTACTCCCAACGGCATGAGGTACCTCCAAGGGCAGTGAACATTAACGGGAGATGTTCGTGTAGCAGCTGAAAACACAAACGCGCCATTCACAATGCATTATGGCCATTGCACTGTACTAACATCTTCCTCGCGCATATTCAACATGCAGTTGTAAACGCCACCATTGTGTTGCAAAGAGTACGAGTAACACACACGTGTGTAATTCGCCCGTAGTAGCAAGGGTGACACGAAAGCAAACAAGATTGAAAGAAGTCTTAACCAAAGTATTTCGTTCAGTGGGAAACGCCTTATTATGTGTCATCACATCATTGAGCAGAGTCAGCCTGGCATGTCCTATTTCGATATGTTTAGGTCAGCCCCAGAGCTGCTAGGGCCTTAGGAATTACGCAGCGGATGCATCTGACATTCACCAGGACGTGGAGTAGGCGAGCGTTTGTTATTGAACGGGCAGCTTCCCTGGCTGCATAAGTGTTACCGGTGAGATGCCATTGGCATGGTATCGGCACAAAATAGAAATCGGACATACCCAGCATTCGTAGAACTGCAAATACCTCCCCAGTAGCCTAGTCTGAATCAGTGCGCGCGGGTGAATCCAGCACATTTAGTGTATATGCCGTCAGCATTAGAGACGCTCTTATGTCCAGCCAGTAGCAACCAGCAGCGGCCGGTGATGCTTGCCGTCTGTTCCGATGAATACAGTCATGCAGCGTGATACACGGAATATGGCTATCTCCGGCAAAAACAGAAGGAATACTGTATGGGCAGACGCAGAACTGTATGGTTAGACGGAGGACCGTATTATTAGACGGAGGACTGTATGATCAGACGTAGGATCGTATGGTTAGACGGCCGACCGTATGGTTAGACGGAGGGCCGTATGGGTAGACAAATGACCGTATGGGTAGACGAATGGCCATATGGATAGACGGAGAACCGTAGACAGCGGACCGTATGGGTGGACGGAAAACCGTATGGGTAGGCGGAGGATCGTATGACCTCAGTAGATGGTTCAGAGCTGCCAGAGTGATAGCAAAGTGCCGTGAATGGCTTCGCGCTAGATAAGTGTTAGATGCATGCTTTGATAATACAAATAAAAAAAGGCAAAAAAGAATCATCGGCCGGTAGACTGGTTAATCTGCCTCAATGATTGCATTAGCGATATAATACAGCGCGAGGAAGGCGTGCACAACAATACGACAACTTACAATTTGACATTGTTCCTGAAGCGGTTGAAGGACGACATCATGATCAGTCCTCCCCAGCCAGGTCCCAGTGAGTAGAAAATCTGGACAGCGGCATCAGCCCACACCTGTCAAACACGGCCATCCTTGTCAGTCTATCCTTCGCCTCAATCATTATGATCTAACCCGTTTCACTGTTGTTACTACTGGGGTAATGACGAAAACCGGTCAGGGTCAGGAGGCGCTACACCCGGCACCTTCCAGGAGTGTGATGGTCACCCTGATCTGAGCCCTCTGTACGTGCCCCTCCCCCCCCCCCCCCCCCCCAGACGAGAATGTCATCACCGTGAAGATGATAAAAACCTAAGCCAATGCGCATGTCACCTTTGATAACCGATGCCCAAGGCTACCAAAGGCAACTGGCAACATTTTATGGATTTTCTATGCATGGGAAAGTTTCTCTTTTGTCGTGGGTCCAGTAGGGTAAGCAAGAAGCCATGTAGATGTGAGTGCCATACGCAAAATCGCAGACGAAGTCACCAGACGTTGCCTGCTGATTCACTGGCCAAGGGACCTACTATGTTTGGTGGCAATTGTAATACTTAGTGAAAATGATAAAGTTGGAATGTTTTCGTTTTTGTTGACTACGGTGGAAGTGTTAACGAGACCATTTGGAGGGTTGATCACTATGAACTGTGTTAACGCCCATGTCCTTTTAATGGGCAATGGTATCTTCGTTTGGGCCTCAGCAGACCAAAGGCGTTATCAGGCAGAGGCTAGTTTGATACCAAATTTGGAAAACACCAGAACAAGGAAAGACAGGGTTAAACTCGTGCAATGTCACCAGGCTTATGAACACGCACCCCGGTGGCTGGTTGGATACCCTTCGTTCGGTTGAAGGCCAGTTTGACCCCCTGAGGTGTATTGGGCTGTGCGCGAACTCACCTGCGCCAATATTTGATGGCCGTTTGTCATGACCATCGGGTCAACTAAGGTCAAACAAATTCAAATTCCAAGTCGGTGTCTTAAGTGCCCCAAACCTAGATATCCATTCTAAGCAAAAGGTCACTGGTACTCATGAAAATCAGTGACCTTGTTTGAGCTTCCAAAGGCTATGATAACCAACATCACACAAGACTGCTTTGAATTTTGCATCTGAATAAGCGTCAAAGATTATGCCAGGCGGCATGTTCCCAAAATCAAATTATTCTCCTGAGCCACCTTAGGCAAGTGAGCTATTCCGATTTTTAACAAGTCCATTGAAGATGTATAATACGGTTCTTGTTACCAATGAATTTGAAATGAGTCCCGGAAACTAACATATATCATGCTCTAGCACAATAAAACAGGTTGGTTTTAGCCTTGGCCTGACCTTCAAACCTGAACCCAGGTGAATGTAATTTGTTCATTCAGTTGTTGTGTTGCCTGGAAGATTATTTCAGAGACATACGGCTTCATCTAACACTCCGTTGGTGCATCAGATTGAACGATTTCCTAGAAATTATCTCCGCTGAATACATGGCCTGACGTTCACCTGCTGTAGGTCAGCGACCTTTCGAGGCACAACAAAATTTGCCGACATCAAACGATCCACAATTGAATTGTGTACAGCTATGCAAAGTTTGGCGTGGCTGCGCCGCGCCGTTCGGAAATCGTTCCAGAAAGAAACGTTCGGAGGGCAAATTAACCCCCATCCCAGCGCGTGTTAAAATAGAGCATGAATTTTGAAGCGCTCTTAAAGCGCTTTTGCCCCTCATGCACATATTTATCGTCTCGTGAGTGCAGTGCTTTATATGGTTTAGACCCATGCGATCAAATTCGCAAGCCTAAAATAGCGCATGGGCACGTACTGATCACACCAAACGCTTCCATAGACCGAGTACCAGCTAGCTTGAAATGCCATGGCCCGCGATGCGCCTCGTTCCTGGGTTCGTAGTGTTCGTGCATTGCAATACCAAATTATCAGTCGGGTAGCAAATCAGCCCCCTGTCTCATAATGAGACAGGGGCCTGCTAACTAGCATTAAAGAGCTAATGCGTGGTATTCGAGACCGAGATCAAAGAAAGGTGCGGTGCCTGCTTCCCAGTGGGTTCTGGCGTCGCTAGGGACCAGTGTTAAGCTAACATGGCGATTTGCAGGGATACACAAATCTACACCACACAGCTTGGTTTTATACCATCATAGTTGCCTATTCATCGAGGTCTGACGCCAAACAGTGGAAAATCAGATGAAAGCAAATAAAGTATATGCTTTAAATCACAGGCCAGCAAAGTGAAGGAAAACATATCACTTACTTTGAACTCGGTGAGGCGATTGAAGTCTGGGGTCAGATAGAACTTGATACCATCGGCTGCTCCAGGAAGGGTGACGCCGCGAACAAACAGTACGAACAGCATGATGAACGGGAATGTGGCGGTGAAGTACACAACCTGGAAAGTTGTACACGGTTATAAAGTCAACACCTTCGGACCTGAGCATTTCAGGCCTTGGATGCAAATGGTATGAATTGCACACGCGCACTCTCCTCTAAAACCTTCATAATTCTAAGTTTGAAGGTGTGTGGCATGTAAAGTGCAACGGGCCACAAATTTGGCTCACTTTACTCCATTCTAACCTTGTGTGCTCTCATCACATCCTTCGATCCAGTAGCAAGCAGATAAAAGCGACTGCCGCTAAAAAACCGTCCAAGAAAATAATATAAATTTGCCGATTCTGTCCGGAGACAACTGGGGTAGGAGCGCGCGTCGGCAAATGAATGCAAGTTCCAACGCTGTCCCTACAAGCAATCTATTTGCATGACCATCTATAGCGCTTCGAGTTCGCTGAGTTCGAGTTGATACGCAACGAGTACTTGGGTTTCGATGGAACTTGGTGCGTATACAGAGACCCGCATGCCGGTTCTAAAACGCAATATTGTAGAGCTAGGCCTCTGAAGTTTGGCGGTTACCTAGTCTGGATACGGTATACGGACTAAATGCATTTCAATGAAAACTATTCTGTGCATGTATCTTAATATGTTGATTCCAAAGCACAACATTGTTAACCAAGAGAGGCAAAAGGTCCAGCCCGTTTGTATTCCTTTGAAACATTTTGCGTAGCTAGAGTTTTGAAAGGAGATTCTAGAAAGAAAACTCTTACATAAGCCACCAGAAACTGAGGGAGCTATTTATACTTCAACAGTGATAAGTAAGGAAAAAAACTGACACGAATGTAGTCACATTCTTACCACGAAAGGCCTGCGAAAAAAACTTCGGACTTATGTCGGATATGAATAGAGTTAAGAAAACACAACAAGGAAATGCATTGCTTGCACTCAACCTGATTTGCCTTTTAAAAATTCACACTAACATAAGTGGGGTAAAGATACAACATTCCTCCAATTGTCATTGATTGCTAGTCGCCTTTCTCCATGGCCAAATCAAATCAAAATAGATTAGAACATGATAGTATTTCCAGCAATCTTGTTTTCAGAGCTGTCACGAATAAGTCTCGGAAGTCGGAATGTTTTCCAAAGGCAAGTGTGCATACGCGCATTGATGCAAGCCCCGGTCTCAGCACCTTTCGTGGCGTCGCCGCCACAACGTCTTTCCAGCACGTCGACTCGACGCCATGAGCGTTTGGCATTGAGCAACTCGTAGTGCCGGACGTCGCGTACACAACATCCATAAAGCATGAGGTTCTGGGGACAGGTGTGTCTGGCAGTCACCTGCTATGATATAGGTCGTGACATGATGCACGGGCTTTTTTGGGGTCCAGCCTGCTTAATTTGAGAACATGACACCAAGCGATAAATCGAGTTATCTTTGTTACGACAGGCCGCTTGACTCAACGGAGGGCGGGAGTGGCGAATTGGAGAGTGTGAGGGGAACTCCTGAAAACCCGGAAGCATAGCATCGCACAGGCCCCTGCTACCTCGTTCTTCACTAAGTCGCATCGACGGAAAGATTGCCAACGCAGCGTATCGAGGGAGTGGTCCGCGTACCTTTCCGACGAGCTTGAATCCTCTGAATATCAAAAGTAGACGACGAGGGGGTGGTCCGCGTACCTTTCCGACGAACTTGACTGCTCTGAATGTACAAAAGAAGACGACGGAGTGGTCTGCGTACCTTTCCGACGAGTTTGACTCCTCTGAATATACAAAAGTAGACGACGGAGTGGTCTGCGTACCTTTCCGACGAACTTGACTCCTCCGAATATACAAAAGTAGACGACGGGGTGGTCTGCGTACCTTTCCGACGAGCTTGACTGCTCTGAATATACAAAAGTAGACGACGGAGTGGTCTGCGTACCTTTCCGACGAGCTTGACTCCTCTGAATATACAAAAGTAGACGACGAGCCAGCAAAGGCAGGAGCAGAGCGCCAACTGCCACACCACCGTTCCCTGGTCCTCCACCGAGTCCGTGATCTGCAGCATGTAGTTGCTGAAACACGGATGGTCCTTGCGAAGTGAGGACAAAGAAATGGTCATGTTTTACGATCGTTATCAATTTTCCGAAAGGAGGAGAAGGGCATGAGACCGAAAATGCCCCACGACGCAATCGGCGTACCAATCTGTGATATAAGAGCCGGCTTAAGCTGCTAGTCAAAAGATGAAATCCATACGCCAAAGTCTGCAGCCCCTTCCAGTTTTCAGTGCTTTGAGTAATGTACACTCAAGCTACTCATGTGGCTAATTTCAGCTTTGAGAGTTCTGAGTAAAAGAAACCCACATCGCTTACGTAAGCTACCAGTTGGGATTAGACCAACAGCATGCAGTCATCTCGGAGCATCAATGTCATCTTACGTCTCTCAGGCATTATGTCAATATGCCATTTCCGGGCACTGCTTAACATTGGCTTTGATCTATGGCGAGGGCCTATGGATGCCTCCTTCCAAAAAATCGTCGACATCTGGCTGTTAATAGTGTTTTTGGTAGGTTTTAGCCTTGGATTGACGTTGTAGCAGGTCGATATAAACAGTAAGTTATCACGCTGCATTGAAACTGAAACTCCTACTTAGCTGCCAGGGACACGCAATTTCTCAGATCCCTATGTTAACAAACAAATGTCGCCAGCTGTCATGCACGCCGCTGCTTAAAGGCACGGCCGACTCCGTCACAACTCCAGTCACGTCACTTCTAGCAGCGAGCTTTCCCTGACGGCTGCCTGCTCCACTGCGAGAGCTGTCTATTTGCCGATGGGCTGACAGCTAGCGTCAGTCTCCTCTGCGCCCGGAACACCGCTCCACGTCAAAACAGCCCGTTAGGCCTCAGGATCGGCTATTTGCCAGCCGAGCCGCGCTGCTGTTGTTGGGAGTTGGCTGGCGGCGGTCCGGTAGTTTTCCACTGCCGCCAGCGTCGCCACCCCGATCGATCGCCGGCAGCGATGACGCCGCGACGGCGATGTGGAGTACGTGACTGCAGCATACTGGGTCACCAGACCGTGCCGCTGCCGCCGCTCCCTCCGCAATCGATGACCACGTGCGCCACGCCACGCCGGTCGACCGGCCCGCGGACACAACAATCGACAGCTCCGCCACTCCGGCCCACCGGGGCAGCGGCCACTCCGGCCCACCGGGGCAGCGGCCACTCCGGCCCGCCGGGGCAGCGGCCACTCCGGCCCGCCGGGGCAGCGGCCACTCCGGCCCGCCGGGGCAGCGGCTACTCCGGCCCGCCAGAGCAGCGGCTACTCCGGCCCGCCGGGGCAGCAGCGGCCACTCCGGCCCGCCCCTGTCGTAACTCCACGTCGAGACTAACGTCGCCATCAGTGATCGATCGTGCTCGCTTGAGTCCCCGGCTTACTACTGGCGTACAACTCCGACAGAGCCCTGCCTGCTCGATGGGATAGTTTGGCGCTAAAACGGGCGAGTGCTCAAATGGCGCTCCGTTGTGTCGCATTTAAGCGGTCGCCAACCCAGGATTTGAACCACGGGAAACAGACTTAAATGTTGCAAAGAGCTGGAATGGTCAAGAAATTTTTAACGTGGCACAACAGCTGTGCAACCTGTTTCTTTCGTGCTTTAGCTCTGCGTCGTGTGTGTCTAAACATGAAGCTAAAAAAAACAATTTTTAAGACATTCCGCTGTACATGACACACTGTTCATCATGGTGCTCGCCTCCGTTTGAGCAGAGTTAACTGTGGTTACAATTCCCAGTCCGCCGTGTTGACGCTGGTTCTGGCTTCAGCGGACTGCACTGCATTGGATCGACTTCGACTCACTCACACAAATTTAACAAACTTCAGAAACGATGCCATGGGATTTGCCTTCGAATGCGTACTGAAGACAACTTTTTTCGTGGGGCGTTAACAAAGGTGAAATTTTCCACTGCTCAGTCTAAGTCTCTAAGTCTATGTTTTTTCTAGGATAACTCCCGGGCGGTGCGGGGTAGTAACGCCAAGCTTGGCCCAGCTGTATGCTGTTGAATAGCCTATCTTTTGGTACACAAAATAGATGCACATCTTAAAGTCGCTAATCTGTAGCGGGACAAAGTCAGACCGAGGTGGCTAGCGAAGGTACTTAGAATCTTCCAAGCTGATGCCAAAGCGAATTGTTTGTCCATTTCATTGAATTTGAGACGGTGTTTTAGACAATGACACAAGCTAAATAGGAATAAAGCTACTTAGGTGTAGCTGTTAAGGCTGATCTTAGCTTAAAAAACTAGGGGTTTTGTCCATTTTAAAATTTTGAAGACTAGATACGGTCGCTGAACTGATAACATTCCGGTGATGATTTGTTTAAAAAGGAATTTAAGCTAAAGCTGGTGGCGTGAGGAGGTCTTATGGCCCATCGGACATCGTTCTCGAGCTTCATCTTGTTTAATTTCAGTTGACGCAAAGGTCATCACCTAATGAAAAAGCGCGTAACACAAACGTTTTTAGTTAACTACCAACCTTTCCCGTGAATTCGGTGCTTTGAACCCTTTTATCTAATCTAAGTAGTTGTACATCAGCAACTACTACGCACAAGCCTATAATCGTCATCAGCATGTTCATGTAATGTGTGCTACCAAATATCCGTTGCTGTTGCGCAGTAAGTAGCAATCTCGGAATTTCGTGAGCTAGATTTGATTGAATCCCAAAAACTCATATCACGCATATATGCCGATATGCATATATGCCGAATCACGCATAGTTTTGCTAGATTCGGTGCATATATTGGTGCATATATTGCTCGAAGTCGTCTTTGGAAATCGTTTTCTGAGAGCCCGTGAATTTACCACCACCATTTGAAGTTTAAGCAGTTAGTTTCACGGACGCTGTCTGTGTTCTGTCCGTCTGTTTACCGCCCCGGGTGTGTGTTTGGAGACGGCGGCTGGCTATCTGACGGAGGGTTTAGCGCGTCTGCCCCGGACGGGACAGCCCACCGGGAGCACCACTGACGCCAGCCCTTTATCGCCCGCGGCACGGCTTGAATTCCGAAGCCCATCCGCCAGCTGCCAGCCCCCTCGCAGTGGATAAGAGCAAGGGCGGATCCAGCAGAAAAGCTAGGGCGGGACTAAGTCCGAACGCTGTGCCAGTTCACCGAAAACCAAAGCTGAGGCGGAAGTCGTCTGGTTTTCTTTCGTCGCCTTTTCCGTGGCAGCGTTGCTTCTCTGGACCCGTCTCTGGCGTAAAGGCTGTTTTGATAAGCGGGGATGTCCTAAAGTCGAGACCAAATCCAGAGACCTGCTCGCAGGCCGCCGCCAGGCTCGCAGCCAACTCACTGGAAAAACTCGTCTGTGGGCGTGCGTCGAATGGTGTCGCTGGTGAGGTTGGACACAGCCGACCGGTTGGTGTCGCCTCCGCGCAGCTGTGGGAAGGGCGAATACCGCATGAAGCGCAACGTGCAGCAAATCGATGACAGGCGTGAGCGGAGAACGACGCATGGTACACGGCGACGCATTACTTTAGTGGCAGTGACAAGCAGAAGTGTGTCTGGTCCCCAGGATTCCTCGAGGGGATAAGTTCTCTGGGCAGCAAAAATATCTGTGTTGATCTGTGCGCCTCGCGGGATTGTGTGGCTGCGAACCACGAGCCAAGGGATCGCACTTGTGACGTAATTGTGAGACTAAGATCTTAAGTGTGATATGATCAAAGGAACTAATGAAAACCATGTCCAGGTTCCGCAAAAATTTAGTTATTTTATTTCGCTGAAAAACAGTGGAACCAGTATCCAAGCTCTTCTTTTGTCGAAACAACGAATGGAAACCAGAATCAAGGGTCATGCTGCAAAAGGAAACAATGAGGGATTACTGGCGCGCAATTATCAACAAAAGTTTAACACGTTTGACTTCAAGCAGCTCGTCCGAACACATTTTCAGCACAAACATTTCCCAACATTCTGCAATTTTGAATGAGGCGAAATGCTCGCTCGCCACTTCATTCCCTCTTCCGTGTGTTTCATTCCTAGGCTGCTGCCTCCCCTGCCTGTGTGCCTCTGCCTGCCTTGTAGCCAATCGTGTGTGCCCCAGCAGACCCAGCCGCCCGTCCGGTCGAGGAAGGGAGCAATCAGAGCTGGTTAGTCGGCTGTCGGGGTCGTCGGGGGCGCGCGCCCCCGGTCTCAGCCCCGGCCGCCGGCAGGATGCGGGCCAGTTACGGCCACTGTCAGCGTAATCGCCGCTGATGGTCGCCGCCGGGGCGGCCGTCCGTCGCCGAGAGCGGGGCGGTGCCGATTCCGAGGTGCGTTAGCCGCCACAGCGCGCACTGTAGCCAAGTCTGATGACCTTCTGGGCAATTATTGGACCGTTGGCGATCGGTTCACAAGTGTTCCCGACTAATAGACAGCTGTGGAATTGACGCACCACGTCATTTAAGAGCCGTACATGATATTCGATGCTCGATGCGCAGCTCAGCCGCGTGGCGATTAAGGGATGTGCCTTTGATATGTTGCGAAGTACTCACAACAGTTGTTTTCAATCTCACATTGCAGCTATTGCTCGTCCCGTCCTATGTTGCATACCGCTAGCATGCTCATCCCGTAGAAATGACTAGCATCGCCTTCCTGCCAAAAACCTTGTCGGCACTTACGCCCTGTCGCACTTAACTTACATTCTCACAGAGCGGCGTGTTCCACGTGTTGTTGCAGTCCATCCACGGCAGGTTGGGGGTGAACGAGAGAAACATGTAGTAGACAGGGTAGGTGATGATGACGTTGTAGTAGCCAGAGACGACGAAGGTGACCAGACAGGAGGCGAACCCGGCACCTGAGGCGCGGTCAGGGTGTCACACTCGGCGCCGCGAGCGGCCTACTGCCAACCACGTTTTCAAATGACGCACAAATAGCAGGAAACAGACCTGCGTAGTTGTGTCCTGTTATGCAATGAGGGTGCCATTCAGAATTTGACTAGGGCATGCATCACATCGTCTTAAATGGCTGACAACGCTCGAAGCTGCACAACCAACACACCCTCGGTGGTTCATCGTGCCAAACCGCCACGAAATATCTTTAAATAAACGCGACCTTTAAGTAAACCCCTTATTTCTCAGTTGCAACATAATATTTCAAATGCTTCCCACGCTGGATGTGATGCCCTGAATGGAAAACGTTGAGTGAATACTATTGTGGGAGAGCAATTACCAGCACAGAAATCAAAGCCAGTCAGAACGTCAGTCAGAAGTCAAGTGTCACACCGAGCACGCTAATACATTATTGACGCTATCGGTAATGAACTTTGCCACGACCTCCAACCTACCTTTGAATATCCGGCTGATCTTAAAGACAGTGAGGCAACCGGAGCTGGAGAACTGTCCGATGCAGGTTTCCATGAGGAACAGCGGTATGCCGCACAGGAACAGCATGGTGAAGTACGGTATCAGGAACGCCCCTGTCGCCATTAAAACCTAGCATCAGTGCGGTCAGGGGCACGTCTCGCGGCTATCTACGAATGTGTGGCGTTATTTCACACACACAGCCCTGGCCGACATGATACGATCGTAATCTTTCTGACGTTGGTATTTGGTCTTCATGCAAAGGAATCCGACCGAAGTGGCGTTTACATGAACAATGAGCACTGGACACGTAGCGACGAACAAAAATACACAACTCTTGGGCAAATGCATTTTTCACTGTGAAACTTCTCCTAAACATCAGGGGGCTTACTTACCACCTCCGTTGCGGTAGCAGAGGTAGGGAAACCGCCAAACGTTGCCGATGCCGATGGCGTAGCCGGCCAGAGACAGCATGTAGTCCCACTTGCCGCCCCAGTTCCCCCTTTCAGTGTTCTCATCCTGCCGGAAACACATCAGGAAGAGTGACGTCAGCATATCCTGGCGGCTTCAGGGCACTGCGCATATTAACCAGCAGTTCAATGAACAAGGATTAGTTTCAGGGTCGCTGCAGTTTGTTCGCGAAACAAATGAATCACTTGGCCTTTTGGTTATTGGTCAAAATTTACATTGATCATCGAATTGAACAAAAAAGTGGTGGCGACAAGGTGTTAGAGTTCGTTAAGACAGTCTCATTCCGAATCTTGCCAACCTAAAGTTTACACATTACCTTGTGCACACTGCCACACCGTGACGAAACATTTGCTTTTGACTGTGTACATGGCTTCATGGCGTGATAAAGGGCTTCGTTCAAGGCAAGCACAGGACAGCGACATTCACCTGATCCCCAAAAGAGCGGGATTTCACATTATAAACATTTCTGGTGAGCCAATGAACGGAATCCACTGGCTTTAGATGAAAAAGTGTTTCCCCCTACTGACATAAAACTGTTCATTTACTTGTTCGAACAACCCTGGATCTGAACCCTGATATATTCGTTGTCATTTCCGGTCAGGACAGGTATTGACTGCTTCCCTAGGTCCAAGTGGCTAACAGAACCGCTGGTCTGATATGCCAGAAGCTGGTCTTTCAGAACAAGTAGATGGAGAAACAACGTAAGAAGACGTTTGTACTCAGGATCAGCCCGTATATTAACAGTACAAACTAGCGTGACGTTTAAGCGCTACAACCGTACCTAACGATGTTGTAAACGACAACATCTTGCTAGCCATGCGCTTGCAAGAGTTTACTGTATCCGAAGTGCCTGCTTTCCATAGAGGATCATTATGCACGTGCGCTATTAGTTCAATGCTACAACAAACTCGAGGCCTTGGTATTGAGTAAGGGAAATAGAGTGACAGCATAGCAGGTTCAGCACATATAAATCGCTGCCTATATTCACGATGATTATATACCTACATAATTCACTGATTGATTCTCGGAAACAAGCACAAGTTTCCCAGAGGGCGTAACATTTTTGCAGTATGCTGAGGTGTCTTGTGCTTGCGGCACCTCACCGTTCTGTAGAACTTTTTAATGTTTCGGCTCGCCACTCTTTGCAAATTAAAGAGAGTGTGTCTAGAGTTTTCGATTTTCCAAATGTATACCTAAGTGGAGATTTGCAACTATCTATAGCTAGTTTTGGTGTTTAAGTGTGCGTTTGGGGCTTTTTGTCTTTTTTAAGTGTGCGTTTGATTTGGGTCTTGGGTCAAGAGTTTTATTGATTTATTTTATTGATCGCATCGGTGGCTGTGCGTGAACAAACACAATGCTAAAAAACAAATCAATCAGCTGGCGGGTAAGGACGAATGCACTGGCCTATATGTAGCTAGTAACTGCGCGCTAGTGGCAAGGCCTTTATCTTGGTTGTTACGGCCTCGTGCGCATAGGGAGAGTGCTAGCGGTATAGAACGGTACGCACTTAAAGATTCCTCGCGTAATTCGAGACGAAAAAGTATGATAACCTCAACATGCCTGGTGCGCCAGTGATATCTCAGCAGCAATTTCAGCGCGCGTGCCTTGTTATTTCGAATTATGAATTCAGTGCACGTGCATTCGGAATTCGGTCAGTAATTTCAGAGTAGAGGAATCTTAGACGCCTATAGCCGTTGCCAAAACAACGTAGAACAATTACATTTTCCTAGAGCCTAGTGCAGCCGATTGACACGACACAATACTTGTGCCTCATCTCAGTAAAGTGTAGGCCAACCACAATCAATTGCGGTGTGTATCAACGCACCAGCCTTGCCATACGTCCAAACCTGTCCACCCGCAGACCTCAGCTGAACGTAAAAAAGCATTGGTCGCCGCCATCGCTGCGTTCGCAAGCTGCTGTCAGCGCTGACAAGCAACAAGCTCGAAAGGCTATCGGCTAGAGCTAACGACCCCTTCTCTATGATGCCGATATGTTGAGTAGTGGAAATTGCCTGGGGGCTACCCGATAGCTTCATTCTTCCATACAGACCAAAACAAATTTGGGGGCTGTGCCAATATCTCGTCAGTTGAGGTGAATTAGTAGAAACTAATGTCATCAAAATTGTTCAGTCGAAATTCCCTACCATCCCACGTGCACAGTTAAAATCTCAACTTGACCAGACACACTCCTTTTAACTAAGTTGTTCAAATGCTTCGTTCAGAGGCGAAATTCTTTTTAAAAAAGCATCGCTTTAAAGCGGTTCAATGGTATGGCTCACGTCATTGCGTTGCGTCGTGAAATGGATTTTCGTTTCGAAATGAATTGCATCTCCTGATTCGTACCACTGTGCTGACAGAAATCACCCATCATTATTTACAGTTTACTGGTTACGCAAGCTAAGGCTTGAGCATGAGGACATTGGAAATTACACATGCATTCTGTTGGAGGTTTGGGGGTAATTCGATCTCCCCAAGGTTTTCCGAATAACTGCCGAACAGCTTACCGTATAGTTTCGTCAACCGTTTTACAACTGAAGACAACTGAGTAAAATAGGAAAGGAAAATATCTAAGCAAACTTTCTATTACAAGTAATTCATTTGGCCTTGGATCAGGCATGGAAGAACAAACCGATGTAAGACCAGGCAGCTTTTTCTGAAAAAAACTTGTTTATAGGGTAGTCTTTGACGCTGCTTTCGAATGCCTCGTTCACAAGGGCGCTTACAGACATCTTACTCAGACTTCACCAAGCCCAGGAAAGGTCGCCGAACTAAAATGACTTCAAAGAAGCTTTACTTTGAGCAACATGCAGTCTAGGGTGGTCCTTGAAGCTTATTGAAAATTGGAACATTAAAACAATCTCGAATGGTTTTGGTCATCTTAACCTTTTCAGGATAAGATTGGGTCACTAGGGTTCCGGCATGTAGTGGTTAAGCTGCATGGCTGGGAAACCAGAGGTACGAGTTTTGACTCACCGCGGTGTCATTCACCGCCTGTCAGGGTGAGAGGTCAGCAAAGGCATATAGCCTCAACAGCTGTGTACGTTGCAAAGCCCCACTGACAACAACGGCACACTTACGACGTCACACATACGTTACACAATTACACAATCACACACATACATTCACACGTTACACAATTACGTCACAAATTTTAAATCGCGAATTCTCCTAGCTAATAAAAATTATGAATCATATTGATATACAAATGAAATAAATGAATGAAAGATAAATGCCTACATTGTAACTTTGATGTCTTCAGCTCGTTTGGTCTCTGATATATCAGAGGGCCAAACTGCCCCTACCCGGTCTCCAACCGAGGCGTATTGCATTCAACCGGCCACCCGGGTGCGTGTTAACGTTAAATCACGCTGGGCGGTGACGTGAATGAACCAAAATAGAATCCCTCAGTATTGGCGTTGGTGTCATTCGGGACTAAGGCCATGTCGGGTAAGCTTGAAAATTGCACAAATATCTGCTATAGGTATTATGCAGTGAATAATAATTATCACTGTACCTAAGAATTGCCAATTCAGGGTAACCCAAGGCTCTAAATTAGAATCCTGACAGGGTATGGGTGGCATAGCCACCCAGATGCCACACAAATGACGTCACAAATGTGTTGGCGTGTTTTTCCTTTAACCAGAGCTATAGCTATTCTAAAGACACATGATAGCTCCTCAGATAACAAATTTTACGCCGTAAAATTTTTCTGACCCACTTTGCCAAATGAACCATTATGGGCAGCTTAAAGCAATTTAAAACCTGAGACATCACACCGAGTGACCAGCCAGTGCTTTTCGATTCTCTATGTAGCGCGTCGCGTGTGGAATGAGTAGTCGAATGGTATTGAGCCAACCGTTGCACCAACCTCCTATCTCCTACAAACTTTCTTTCTCTAACTTCCTATTCCATATCACCTTTCTACAACGTGAAGCCATCCTGTGACTTTCCAACGCCAAGACACCATGCCATCTTTCCATAGCATGCTCCATGCCCCGGGCATGCCATGTTGAATGCTTCAGACCAGGCGCATGGGCTCCGAATTTCTCCGAGATGACGGGAAGAGATATGTCAGCGCTGACCTTCACTGATCGGCTTGCCACACACAGGCTTTCAGCCTGTTGGTCTATACTGTCGCATCACCAGCTGGTGCAAAGGAGTGTTAAGATAATAGGGCTGCCCCAGAATCGACGTCAGTAGACATTTGACGCAGGTCACGTGACTTACCTGTTCTAGTGGGGCGTCTTCTGTCTTGCAAGCGATAGGGAAGCAAAGAGTGGGGGGACAGGAACGCACCATGGTGACGGCACGGAGCCAGATTAGCAAGTTCAGCGGGCAGAAAGTGACTCTCGTTTCCCATTGGAGGGTAGCTGGCAGATATCTGGCCGGAAGGACATCATATGTGAACGGTCAATTGCGCACTCACCCAGCCCCCCCCCCCCCCTCCCCCGCCACACACACACACACGGTGCGTGCACGCTGTAAAGTATGACTTTCGGCGACAGCTCTTCGTTAGGGAAATGTGATAATGTATCGGAAATTGGCGGGGACCGACAGTGTTGACAAAGGCCATTAGAAAACAGGATATGCCAAGCTTCCAACGACAATGGCCCAACTAAATCCCCGATAATTGATTCGACCGAAAGTAACTAAAGACTGACAAGCTCCAAACGTTTTCACAATGAGCCACATCCGCCAAACATATAACTTAACATGATGTTATTTAACATGATGTTAGTTCGCAAACAGCAGCTAAAGACTCAGCATCGAGGATAACACATACATCAAAGTAACGAACCCTTAGAAAATCCAAACCCGAATGAGCAGCCTGCACAGCTCGGACAATGCGAAAAATGGTCTTGAGCTCCGACCTCAATGTCCTCTACGCTAGATCTTCAGTTGATTCGCTCACACTGGAGTGCCCGGGACTCTGAAGGTTTGGCCAGCGGGCGGGCGCCGGTTCAAACCAGTCACCGCCTTGGAACGTCAGACGGCGGTCCTGTACCGCTCACCGTCATCCGGGAAGACCCCTATTGGGTCATGCAGCGGATAGATTCGGCGCAGACGGAGTCCGCCCCGCCCCGCCCCGCCCTGCCCGGGTCCCCGTGGTGCCCACAGGGTCGAGACGGCCAGGGTCGGGACCTGCCCGTGCGGACGCTTGGCGAGCGCACCCACTCACTCGGCGCCGGCCGAGACGACACCTGACTGGCGGGCCCCCACGTCCGCCCCGACGACACCCGGCCTGCGCCTGGCTGGTGCGCCGGGGCAACGGCGCCGTCAGGGCTGGTACGGGCGCACCCCTGCGCCAGCAACAAATCTGCAGGGGGGGATGGGTGCGCAAAACAGGTAACTGTCCTCCCCAAAGATAAGTGATCTGGAAAAACCATGTGCTTTTTCCTCTAAGTTGTATGCAAATATCTACATTAAAGTTGTCAAGAGTACACTTTGCTACTTTCGCAAATATTTTGTTTCTTTTCTACTGCTCGTCCATTTCCATCAACGATGGTCAGTGGTGTATACTGATCGATGGATGGTGCATATTCATAGAATTCTGGTTTGTAGAGAGCAGCTTGAATCTACCCACTGCTGCTATAAGCGACGCATTTCCTTGTTATTTTAAGTTTCTTGCTGTTTTCGGCGATTCGGTTTTGACACGTGCCATGACATTGGTAAACGTAGCTTGGCTCCACTGTTGTGAAATTTTGTCTGCTCAGGGGAGACGACGCTGAGACGCCTGCGCTTTAGAAAAACGGGTAGTCTCTAAACCGTATGTCATGGATGAGTCTAGTTGACAAGATTATACACCGGAAAACACGACCCTGTAGGTCAGCAAGGACCACCAAAAAAAAACGCGTATTTTATTCTCCAGTGGTGGTCGAATACCACATGCCAGTTGTGTTCATGCACGGGATTAAAGCATGTGCGTCGTAATTTTGTAAATATAAATAACTAGTGTCATAATGTTGTGGAACAAAAACCACAACACTAATATGTCGAAATCCCACTCTGCATCAAAATCCCACTCTCTACAGAGAGGTCAGTCGTGAGGATCCGTTAACATTCGTCAAAGGGATTTAAATCTGGAAAGATCCAACATACGCACTGGAACGATTCAAAGGGTGTTCCGCTGATAGGGCAATTCCAGCAGCAATAAAAGTCCTCCCAAACTGGAAGAGCCGTCGATGTGTTTGGTTATTTCTTTTTAGTAAACGCCTTAAGACCCAATTGAATCATGGAGTTGGCGGTGCTCAGTCATCCCCTTCCCCCACTGGCATTCCTAGTTCACGCGACCCTGGGCAAGACCCCCGGAAGTAGCTCCACGGCCTCTCACAAGAGATCGCTATGCTGTCGGCACTGCCAACGAAATCCTGAAACACCATGTCGGAAAGCTTGCCTTCAATATGTGGAATACGCAGAGGCTTTCAGCCGCAGACGTCAATGCCAGGAATAGATTCCGTTATTGGTTGACCAAGAAGTCTCCAGATGAAAAATCAGATGACTTCCTGGTGAGAGCACATGTCTCGGATGAGCCCCCTTTTAACCTGGCGGTCAGGCCAATAGCCAAACCAACCGATGCTGGCAGGCAGATGCCCGTTCTGGTGCACATAAGGCCACTGCTTGGTGAGAGGTCACAGCCTGATGCGCTGTCAGCTGGTCCGTACCCATTGGACAACCCTGGTCTGAGAACGTAGATCGCCGTTAACCCCGAGGTTGGGTATATTTCAAGGAATTTTCACTGGGAGATAGGTCAGACAGACGCGGGGCTTGAACCAGACGAGCAGGGGTCATTGGATGACTTTGCATGCTTTAAATATACGAAACGGTTGAAGTGAAGCAGCTTTCCTGTTTGTCATACATACCTTGAGGTTTTTTCTGGTGCACATTTCTATTCATCCGCGCTATCCATACCATTATCTACCAAACAACCTAACCAGCTTACTCAAGTTATTCATGCGACATAGCCCCGTTTTTACTGGTGAGGCAGAGTTGTACGACTGGAAAGGATTTTTGGGCGTGACTAATGAAGACATTTTGGGCGACTTGGGAGGCTTTTGTCTTTTCAGTTCACACGTTAAATTATGGTCTGCTATAAGGCACCGACACATCCTTGTATATATATATATGCATGCATATACAAACATATACTTGCATGCTTTTAAATGTGCATACATATACAAATATATACTTATATACTTGTATATACATATATATATATATATATATATATATATATATATATACCTAATTTCAGGGTAACTGCATCGACACCTTTCCCAGTGCGTTATTTGATCACGACGGCTCTGCTCCATCCCTACCCAGAGCCACGGCAGTCGGACGCTGCTGTGGCTGGTAGAGCGCTTTGGTGGAAGCGTTATCTCCTTCAAGGCCGTCTACGGAATGAAAAGGCCGTCACTCCCACCACCTTTCTCCGCCGGACTTCCTCCGATGATGGCAATCCTCAATAACCATATCGCAGCTTGAAGTGTTGTCGCCAAAGTCCAGAGCAGTGCGAGAGCTCAGCGCCGAGACATGCAGGGAGCTGTCCGGTCCGTCATCAGAAAGGGGAAGCTGTGCTCGCCGAGGTCAGGCCGTGTCAAGCACATGCTCTATGGGTCATGATGTGTTAGTTTAGTGGCGGATGGCTGACGCGTATAAAGATAAATGGTTTTGGCACCTCTGGCATCACAACATTGACCAGGTGCGTTTGGGACACCTTTTTAAGAATCAGATCAGATTGCATAAATGCACAGGCAATGGGAGTGCGTCAGTTTAGTGCGAACAGCACGGCATATGGCAACCAGTACATTAACCTCTCTCCCCTTTGGTTCATATAAGGGGTGGAAAGAAATATAGGTCCGGACTTAACTCGCCCATTGCGTAAACATGACATGTCACGCTACCAACTGCGGTCAAGTAAAAAGTGCACCAACCAATGGGGGTATATGTTACGCATTGGCTGTACTGGGCCATCGCTCAGAAAACACTTAACGGTGTGTAACCCAGGTGACCCCTCTTCGGACGAGGCAGAAGTCTGCGCACCTTGCCAACTCATCACCAACCATGGCGCGCGCGTCAGTCTGGCCAATGACCTTGTTTGGGCGACCGGGGCTCCAACGGCTTTTCCAGCAGGTTTGACATCTCAAGAATCCCAATGCGTAAACAAATCTAGAGAAAAGGGGAGTGATTGAGAGCATAAGCCGGCCACGTCTTGTGGCTGATGGTGAGCTCTTCGAAGAAGTCGTTCAACCAGGCCATAGCCAACGTGGGCATGTGGGGAATCCTCCCGTCATGGTACAGTGAACTGTTCTGCACTTCACCTCCAAACTTTTGCTCCAGCTGCCCCCAGAAGCACTCCAGCACGTCCAAGACCATTTCCCTGAATCTGCCTGGCGATTATGACAGGTGTAGACTTTCTGGTTATCTTTTAGGTGGATTTTGATGGGTCTTTAGTGGAGCCAGACTTGAATTTTGCGAAGGTTCCACTCCTATTTTTGGCCGCGTACTTCCGCTTCTTACTGTAATATGGTTCAACACGCGGGTGCACAATTGTGTTTTGCACGCGTGGCGTGCTGGGTTGTGAACTGAAGCCTAAACAGTCTTGTTACAACGTTGGATCTCGTCGACCAATGCGACTGTACAGTTTCTTTTCTATTGCTCCGTGCTAAGCAGCGCCATGGTGTTGAGTTAGTCTGGGCCATATTAACTAAAATTCCAGAACACGTGCTGCCGAACGAAAAAAGCATGTGTTTCTTTGGTGTTGGGTGGTACCACACGTATCTGAAGTCAGAACATATTTTTCTTTCCAAACGGCATTAAAAGCGTGCGGCTTTCTACCCCCGCAACCCTCCCCCCCCCCACACACACACCACCGCCATGGTTGCCGGCTTTGCCACCTCAGCGAAAGGTTCTCAAAAAATGTCCTGCATGTTTGGGAGTTGGTCACATTTTCTACCCCCCCCCCCCCCGTCCCCTTCCCCAAACTAAGCGACTTGATCCGCTCCTGCCTAGCGCCCGGCGGCGCCGTCCCGCGGAACTGCGCTATTTCTAGACAGCGTCCGTTCAGGCGGCGTCTGCCCGTCGCTGCGTCTGATGTGTTCATTTACACAATGTGTAAATGCTAACGCATTGGACGAGGCCGATGGTCTGAACGATCATGGCATCCGTAATACCTAAAGCTCGGCGCAATCCTTTCCTAAAACTGCGACACAGTAGTGCATATGCAGATGCAAAACAATCTTCCATATTTTTTAGTTGACAGCTAGATTCTGTTAAACACTTACCCGCCTTATAAGGTCAGGTCACATCAGCATGACGTTGTCAAAGTCTTAACATTGTTAAGTTTTCATCGAAAACAGTACTTTTGTTCAACAGTATATATCGAAGCAACGCTCAAAGACGCGTAACGCTACTTCGCAGAGTCCATGAAAATGCGCTAAAAGTGATACACTGGCAGTTCAGTAACGGAGCAGCTGTTTAGAGCGGTACTGTGTCTACAACTAGTGGATTGCATGATACCCGATTCGGATACATAGCTTTTCAAACTAAGTTGGAAGGGCTGAGCACGACAAAAATGGTCAAAGGGACACCCAAAACACGGCAGAAGGCGGGTTTCTTCTCGGATTTAGCCGTCTTCTTCTCAAAGATGGAAGGCAGTGGAGTGACTTTTAAAATCGGTTGGGGTCTCAACCGATAAGGTTGACCTAACCTGCCCTGAAACCTGATTTCTCCTGGGTTTTTGGCCATTTAAATTTTCGTTCCTCATGGCAAGGGTTAGTCCCTTTAACCGCCTTTTATGATCTTTACAGAAGAAAACTTCCAATTTTAAGTCTATGTGAAGCTGCGGTTTTAGGAGAAGCTTAGAACTGGGTGAAGCTCAGAAAAAGCATCTTGGTAATGCCGTCCGCTATGATCATCGGAGCAAAGTTCCGTGTTTTCATTCGTGGAAGGTGCTGGCCGAAGCGGAAAGACAGCTGTATGTAAAATGGAGTAGTCTGAAACGTGCAGACTTGAGAAGAGTGTGCGCAAGATACCTACGTTGAGAGAAAGTAAAAAATGTATCACGTAAACTACCGGGAAGAACCTATACCTAAAAGTGAAAACAAATGTGTAAGACCTTAACCGACATGTGAATAGCTGGAACGA